AATTCTAAGATCTCTATTATTTTATTTAATATTATCAAAAAAGCTATTATCGCGAAGCTAAAGACTTTTTAAAAAATAAGATTAAAAAACTTTATTTAAATAATATTATCACTTAATAAATATTTTATTTTAAAAAAGTTAAATATTTTATTTTCTTCTAGATACTATGACTATAAGATTTAATTAAAAAAATTTTTAAAATTATCTTTTTATAAAATAATAATAGAAAAACTTTAAGCAGCTTATAATTATATTATAAAAAGTTTTAATAAGACATTTTTAATTTTAGATTTAAAAATTTTAATATTTTTTATTCTCATAGTTAGGAACCCTAAAAATAGATTTTATTTTTATATTAATTATTAAAAATTAAATATATTTATAAAAAAAGATTTTTAATTAATAAGATAATAGACTGCCTGCGTAATACTAAGATTTTTATTAAACTTTATATCTATTAAACATATTTTAATTTTAGAATAGATTTTATTTTAAAAGATCTTACAATATTTTAAACCTAATATAGAATATTTAAATATTATATTTCATTTTTTAAATTTATAAATAGACCTGCTATATTGAAATATCTTATTAATAAAATATTATTAAGATATATAAATACTAAATCAGTTTATTATAACTTATATTAATAATATATTAATTTATAGTGAGAATATTATTAAACTTAAGTTTATATTTATTTAATACTAGAAAAGTTATAGATAACTGGTTTATAAATTATTATCTATTAATATAAATTTTCTATTATAAAAATAAAGTTTTTAGGATTTATTATTGCTACTAATAATACTTAAAAAATTAAAAAATCATTATTATTATTAATAAAAAAGTCTAATAATTATATAAGAAATTTAATCTTTTTAAAATCTCTATAATTTTTATTAAACTATTTTAAAAAAATTATTTCTATTTAAGATTAAACTTATACCGAGGATTTTTATATATTAAAAATTTACAATTATTATCTTTATTTTTATATATTATAATTTTATATTTTTAATATATATGAAAATAAATATTATAAAGAAAATTATTACTATTCCTCGTCCAGTTAATTAATAAAATTTAATATTTCATTTATTATTATTTCAAGATTATATTATTTATTAAATATAATTAAAATATCCATAATAAAAAATTATTAGTTATTATTAAAATCCTAAATTTTAATAAAATTGCTTTTATCAGTATAGTAAGATTTTAAAAATATTTAAATAATTTTAGAATTCAAATTTTTATTATCTTATTTGATATTATTAAGAAAGTTATAATTATAAAATTAAAAGTCTTCTCAATATTAGAAGGGGATAAGATTAAGAAAAGTCTATTTAAATAATATTGGAATTTAATATTCAAAAAGAATTGGATATTTTACTTTTTTTTAAATATTATAACTATGAGATGTAACTAGAGAAAAAAAATTAAAAATTATTTTATTATAAAATAATGATAAAAAGCTTTAGACGGCTTATGATTATATTATAAAAAAATTTGATAAAAGTTTTATTATTTTAAACCCTATATTTTTTATATTCTTTATTCTAATAGCCGGGAAACCTAGAGATAAACTTTATTTTTATATTAATTATCAAAATTAAATATACATATAAAAAAAGACTCTTATCTATTACTCTAAATTAATAAAATATCTAATACTCTAAATTAATAAAATATTAAATTATTTATATAATATTATAATTTTTATTACATTAGAATAGACTTTATTTTAAAAGATTTTACTATTTTTCAAATTTAATGTAGGATATTCAAATATTATATTTTATTTTTTAGATTCATAAATAGATTTATTATATTTTAATATTTAATTAATATTTAATTAATATTTTATTAATATTTAATTAATATTTTATTAATATTGTATTAATATTTTATTAATATTTAATTAATAAAATAACTAAACAAATTTACTACAGCCTATATTAATAATATATTAATTTATAATAAGAATACTACTAAATATAAATTTTATATTTATTAAATATTAGAAAAGCTATAGATAGCTAGTCTATAAACTATTATTTATAAATATAAATTCTATATTATAAGAATAAAGTTTATAGAATTTACTATTATTAATATTAATATTTAGTTAGATCTATTGAAGATTACTATTATTATTGATTAAAAATTCTAATAAATATATAAAGAATTTATTTTTTTTTAAATTTCTATAATTTTTATTATTAGTTTATTAAAAATTATAATGAGATTACACGCTTCATTATTAAACTAGTTAAAAAAATTATTTTTATTTAAAACTAAGTTTATATTAAGACTTTAATATACTAAAAAAGTTCTAGTCTTTACTATTATTTTTATTTATTATATATAATCTTATATTCTTAAAATATATAGAAATAAATATTGATTATTACTAAAATCCTCTTCTAATTAATTAATAGGACTTAATATCCTATTTACTATTATTCTAAAACTATATTATTTATTAAATATGATTATCATATTTATAATAAGAAACTGCTAATCATTATTAAAATTTTTTAAAAAAATAATATTTTAAATTAAAAAAAATTTAATATATAGATTATTTTAATACTTCTACAGACTATCAAATACTAGAATATCTCAATAACTATAAAATATGTAAATATTTGATAAGTTAGATAAATAAAATTTTTTTCTATTACAAATTATAGTTAAATTTATTTTAAAAAATATAATATTCTAGCTAACACTTTAATCTATAAGAAAGAAGAAGATTAAATTTTTATAAAATATCAAAAATAAGTTTTTCTATCTATGAAATATGTTAAAAATAGAGTATATATTTTTAAAAGAATTTCAAATCTTAGTTTTTTACTACTCTAGAACTAGTCTCTATAGAGAAATGCTTATAAATAATTAATTAACCCTTAATAATAAATTAAATTTCTTTATTTTTAAACTTATATTAAGAATAAACTTACTAAAATATATATATATATATATATATTTTAAAAACTAGATTTCTACTTTATAATAATCTTTTAACAATCCTAGATAATAGAGATCTATACATTTAATCATTTAATAAAATTTTTTATTAATTTTTATTTATTTATTTAGATTATATAAAAATGTTAAGCCTTATTAAATATCAATATTATTAAAATATTTAAAATTGTGATATATATTACTATATAAATAATTATTTAATTTATAAATAAAAAAATATATATTAAAATCTTTTCTTAAGATTTATATAGTTTTTTCTAATCCTAGATAAATTAAAATAATATTTTTTATAAATTTTTAAATATTCCTAAAAGACCGCCATAGCTTTAATATAATATTTATAATAGTAAATTTGTCACGGGGCATACTGGGTGCGCATTCCAGGTACTTCCCGCTGCACTATTGGCAAAAGGACTAGGATGTAAAGCCAATGGCTTTACACTGCGCACGCTATATAAGGATATTCAGGAACAGGATTCAGGCAGGATTCAGGCAACCACGCGGGTTCAGGCAGGCAGGCAGGCAGGCACCGTGACAAAATTATTTAAGTAAATCATGTGAATTTTATATATAAAATCTATATCTATATAAGATATAATCTAATTTTTTAATAAGTATATCTATAGTCAAAATCTCTAGATATTATTATATTTAATAAAAAATAATTTATTATTAAATTTTAAAATAGAATATATTATATTTTATAAATAAAGTATACAACCTTTTACAGTATACTACTTTTGTATTAATAATTAAATAAAGATTATAAACTAATATATAATCTAATATCTAATTTCTTTTATAAATTAATATTAAAATAACTAGTTAGAATTTTTATTATTAATTATTTTTATTTTTATTATATTATTATATAAATCTACTAGACTACGATCCTTTATGATGAAAATATATAAATTTTATAAGTCATTGAATTAAATATTTTTAAAATATTAGTTATTAATATAATAAATTATAAAAAGTTTTAATCTCTAGTCTAGCGCATAAAATAGATATAAAATTTTATTAAAATAATACATAGAAAGTTTAAAATGTTTAAATTTCTATTATTAGTTATAAATATTACGTAATTAATTTTAATATTATAAAAAGGTTTATATAAATATAAAATATTAGTATTAGGACCAGCCTTTCTAGAAATTATTTAAAAATTAATGTAATTTATTGCTAATTATTAAGGAAATAAGATATATTTTCTATATCTAATTATTCAATAGTATTAAAATTTATTCTATTTTTTATTTTATAAGGTTTTAAGTCTATAAAATACTAGAACTATTACTTAGACAGATCTAGAATATTATATTATTAATTAAAGTTAATAATTATATACAATAAAAAATAAAACAATTTTTAAATAATTATTTATATTTTAAAATATTACAGTACTATATTAAATACTATAATTTAAATAAAAATAATAAAAAATAAAGATTTACCAGTAATTTTAAAAATATATTTTATTATTTATAAGATTTTTATATTTTATATTTTAATCAGCTGGGTCTTTCTAGATAGTTTTTTATATTAATTATAATAATTAAAAATAATAAATTTATATTAGATTATAAAAATCATAATATTTTCTTGATTAAGAATAATCAGGCCTAAAAAAGAAAGCAATGAAATAATAATTATATTATTTATTATATAATAATTATATTATTTATTACATAATATTTATATTATATTATTTATTTTACTACTACTAGTATTATTTTTCTTTAGTGAATACTTATATTTATTTTTTATTATTTATTTTTTTATATTACAAGCTTTAGAGTAGTTAGCACTAATATAACTTTATTTCATATTAAATGGCTATCTCAATAATCATAATATATTATTAATTAAGTCTTAAGAAGATTTATTTTAGACATTAATATTCTTTATGATAGATCTATTATAGGGATTATAAGGATATGTATGATCTCTTACACCTTATTCATGTAAACGAAGAATCATGACGCTGGTGGAACGATGCTTCAGCAATCAACGTCAACTTCCATTGCCTCACTATAACCATCAATAGGGCCTTTAATCGAATCGTTGCTGCTTGTAGTCCCAGTTATGATCACGCTACTATCATAGTTCTCAACAGAAAAAACATCATCACAACCTTGTTGACCCCGTCTAGCGCGATCCCTTGTGGCGATCAGAGCCTTCCGCACATTGTCTCCCTCTTTTGTGATTGACAAGGATGTAGGCTCGGTGTAAAGGACTAACTCATTGCATGGAGTCTTAGCCCTCGTGACGAGTAACCTCGGAATTGCGGTAAGTTGATCAGCGTATCTGTGAAGAAACGTAAAAGTATCGGCATTAGGCTCGGTTTCTTCTAACTCTCTATCCAGATCATGTATGTAAACGGTGTGTTTGGTATCATCCAATAACATCGAATCGGTGGAAGAAGAAGCAGGGGGCTTCTCTTTGGCATTAGTGACATGGCCAGCTGCTGCAGAATGCGCTAAAGAAAACCTTGTGTTAGAAGGTCAAACTTTTAGGTATAGGTGAGAAGAAGATTGGGAGAATACAATGGTATTGTCGTTGAAGACATACAGATATGCAGGCGACCAAACCTTTTAGCCAGAGGTTGATCTCCTTCGGGGTCACTTTCTGCGGGGCGCTTTTTCCCGTGATTGACTTCCTCACCAACATGTGCCATCAGCCACACGAGCAATGCCTTGTTGATGAGAGAAAGAGATAGGCCCAATAGTCCAACTATATGTTAATTAAATTCTTGCACATAATCTGTGCACATTGAAAATTCAGTACAACGGAGTGTGTTACTTGAAAAAAGTTTGCTTAATGCATGTTCATAGGTTCATTAAGGAGGGGGAATTGGCCTTGACTCATCTTTTATCACATTTTAGGTCGCAACCCAGAACATTCTACCACCTTCACACTCCCCCACTTTCAAATACCTTGCTCACAAGAACCATCACAAGATCGTTCAGTATGGCTTCAGATAACCATCATAACTCGGAATGGGATGCCAAACGTGTTCGAGACACTTTTCTTCAATATTTTAAGGAAAATGGCCACACATTTGGTGAGTATCTATGTGATTGAAACATGTCAAATTGTTATAGACTGACGAACATTTAAATTCATAGTTGCATCGTCCCCTGTTGTTCCCCATTCTGACCCTACGCTACTGTTCACCAATGCTGGAATGAACCAGTTCAAGTCGATCTTTCTGGGCACAGTGGATCCTAATTCCGACTTTGCAAACCTGAAGAGTGCAGTCAACTCACAAAAGGTCGGTAGTTCAACTTCCATGTTTGGCTGGTCCTAACATAGTCTATAGTGCATTCGTGCAGGAGGAAAGCACAATGTAAGTATCAGGTGAACAACCGCCAAGGAAAGAACCTGGAATCAAGGGATAAAAAGGAAGAAGCCGGAAGATAGACTGACTCGAGTGATTATAGGATCTTGACGATGTGGGAAAGGATAGTTATCATCATGTGAGAGATTTCTACCCCGTTGCATGGTTGATGTTGTGCTAAGTCAAACACTCGGTAGACCTTCTTTGAAATGCTTGGGAATTGGAGTTTTGGAGATTATTTTAAGGAGGATGCGATTCGCTATTCCTGGGAACTATTAACCAAGATCTATGGCTTAGATCCCCAGCGCCTCTATGTTACCTATTTCGAAGGCAACCCGGAGGGGGGCCTGGAGCCAGATCTAGAGGCAAAGAATCTGTGGAGAGCCGTTGGCGTCCCAGAGGATCATATCCTGCCCGGAAATATGAAAGACAATTTCTGGGAGATGGGTGATCAGGGTCCCTGTGGTCCTTGCAGTGAAATCCATTATGACCGTGTCGGTGGACGTAATGCAGCCCACTTGGTCAACCAAGATGACCCCAATGTTCTGGAAATATGGAACAACGTCTTCATTCAGTACAACCGTGAGTCAGATCGGTCATTGCGACCGTTGCCCAACAAGCATGTGGACACCGGAATGGGGTTCGAAAGGTTGGTGTCGGTCTTACAACACAAGTCGTCGAATTACGATACGGATGTTTTTACCCCCATATTTGAAACCATCCGAGATGTCACCGGAGCAAGGGAATACCGTGGTTTCTTTGGTACCGATGATCCTGATGGTATCGATACTGCCTATCGTGTCATTGCGGACCACGTTAGGACCCTGATGTTTGCAATTTCAGACGGTGCGGTTCCCAATAATGATGGCCGCGGCTATGTCATTCGTCGCGTTCTACGTAGGGGAGCTCGTTACGCCAGGAAGTACTTCGGGGTCGAGATCGGCAACTTCTTTTCCAAAATTGTCCCTACTGTCGTTGATCAACTCGGAGATATGTTTCCGGAGTTGAGAAAGAAGCAGCTCGACGTCATGGAAATACTTGATGAAGAAGAGATGTCGTTTGCTAAGACTTTGGATCGTGGCGAGCGACAGTTTGAACATTATGCTCAGCAGGCCAAGGTCAAGGGAGACGATAAACTCCATGGCGCTGATGTTTGGAGACTCTATGACACCTTCGGTTTCCCAGTCGACCTCACTCGCATAATGGCAGAAGAACGCGGGCTACGGATCGATGACCGTGAGTTTGAGGATGCGCGCTTAAGGGCCAAAGAGGCAAGCAGAGGCCAGAAGAAGACTGCTTCGGAGACGGTCAAGTTGGACGTTCATGACCTAGGCAAACTGGAAACCATGAATGACGTTCCCAAAACTGACGACAGTGCCAAATTTGGGAAGGGCAACATTACCGCTCAGATAAAGGCTATATACCATGGCAAAACGTTCCATTCGTCCACCAACGATGTACCGGACGGCGAGCAATTAGGAATTATTCTTGATCTGACAAATTTTTATGCTGAACAGGGTGGACAAGAGAACGACACAGGTAGGATCGTTATCGATGGACAGGCCGAGCTTGAGGTCGGTGATGTCCAGCTTTATGCTGGGTACGTACTTCATACTGGGTTCATGAAGTACGGTTCTTTCTCTGTGGGTGACAGCGTCATCTGTGAATACGACGAATTACGTCGGTGGCCTATTAGGAACAACCACACAGGGACGCATATTCTTAATTTCGCCCTCAGGTCTGTCCTGGGAGAGAGTGTGGAGCAAAAGGGATCCCTCGTTGCCGCCGAAAAGCTGAGGTTCGATTTCTCTCATAAATCGGCCATTTCGGACAAGGATTTGGCCAGAGTAGAGGAAATCTCAACCGAATATATTCGCCAGAACTGTGCCGTTTACTCCCAGGAACTTCCTCTTGCAACAGCTCGAGAGATTTCGGGAGTCCGAGCTGTTTTTGGAGAGACATACCCTGACCCAGTCCGTGTTGTCTCTGTTGGTGTGGAATTGAGTGAAATATTGCAAAATGTGAAGGATCCTCGCTGGAAGGAGGTTAGTATTGAATTTTGTGGTGGCACTCACGTGCAGAAGACAGGGGACATCAAAGATCTTATCATCTTGGAAGAGGGCGGTATTGCTAAAGGCATTCGAAGAATCATTGCTGTTACCGGAGAAGAAGCTCACGAAGTGCAGCGATTGGCAGCAGAGTTTCAGAAGCGGCTGGATAGTTTGGAAGCGATGCCTATGACCCCAGAGAAAGAAAAAGAAGCAAAACAAATCCAGGGCGAGCTTAACCAGCTTTCAATCTCCGCGGTTCAGAAATCTAACTTCCGTGAACGATTCGCCTGTATCAACAAGGGAATTATCGACGGCCAGAAGGCGCAACAAAAGCTTGAATCAAAAGTTGCCCTTGAGACTATAAGCAACTTTTTCCAAGCCCCGGAGAATCAAGACAGGTCATGTCTTGTTACTAAACTCCCAATCTCTGCGAACTCGAAAGCCATCAGTGAGTCGCTGAATTACGTCAAATCCAAGTTGCCCGAGAAGACAGTATATGTTTTGGCTGCAAGTGCCGAACAGGGTCGTGTTGCCCACGGTTGTTATGTCTCCAAGGTATGTTTTCATCGTTCACTAATCATTCCATTTCTGACAACAATACTAATTTGCTGCCTTCTTCTTTTGCATAGACATCAAGCGAACAAGGTGCCTCGGCTAGCGAATGGGCAGCTGTTGTCTCTAGCGCGGTCGGAGGAAAGGCGGGTGGGAAGGGACCTACCTCGGTAGGCAATGGAGTACATCCTGACAAAATTGACGAAGCCGTCACTCTGGCTTCTGAATACCTTGCTAAATTGAAGCTGTAGGTTGTTGGTCATACTGAGACTGACCCTCCCTTCCTGGGGTTTTGTTCATGCCTCTCAGTGACAGTACGTTTTATATAAAAAATTATATGCCATTTATCCGTACCAGTAAATCATGCCCCATCTTTGCTTTACAGATCTTTCCTATCAGTGGAGTCTCTTCATAACATACCATTCCCAAATCTCCATGCATCACATCTCTCCACATTGAATAATTGAAATGTCTTGGTTGGGCTTATCCCTTATCGTCCTAGTGTTCTCAATCATTCGAACGACGTCCATTCCCTCCAGCACTTTGCCAAAAACGACATGCTTCCCGTTCAAAAATGGAGTTGCGGTGGTTGTTATAAAGAATTGGCAGCCATTCGTGTTCGGACCGGAATTCTAGATGATTTGGTTACACACCGTATAATTGAATGGAACCTTGACAAAAGCCATCAACTTACTGCCATACTAAGCAAGCCAGCCTCGTCATGCTTCAAGAAAAAGTTTTCGTCCGAGAACCTTGGAGTACCATAAATAGTGCAAGATCCTGTCCCATCCCCATTAACAAAATCACCACCTTGAATCATGAAGTCCTTGATCTTTGTAAAGGGTCAGCTTCTTGTGACAAAGCATCCACTGTGTCCAGATGGATATACATACTACTCGATGGAATTTGCTGTTTTTGTAGCCCTGTGGCCGTCCCTGGGCATTCTTACTTTCACCTGTACAAAACTGGCGGAAATTCTCCGCTGTTCGGGGTGTGATATTGGCAAATAATTCCATTTTTATACGACCTAGAGGCTCCCCTGTAATATGGAAAACTCAGCTACTATCTTTTCGCGGTTTGCAATGACTTGAAATGACCCCGATTCCCAAAGGGCCAACAATCGCGCCATGGTCGTGGTTCGACATTGTGGAAGAAACTCCTTGGTGTCAATGGTAGATGTAATTGATCACCCGGTCGTACATTGTAACAAGAAATAGATGGAAAGAAATGGACATCTGCCTGACACACATACCTCCTAATGCTATATCAAAGAAGACCACAGGGTTGACATCTCCTGGTGAGCTTGAAGCTGCGCTGTCCATTTTGTTCAGGTATGCTTCCTTGTGTGCTCGTTGCCAGAATGGTGCCTGTTTTGCTTGCTCTTCCTTGACTCAGTAGCTACTTAAGTGAAATCCGATGGGCATAACAAAGTTTCCCGGAATTGGCATTTTTTGTCCTGTATCGAGTAATTGCCTTCCCCTGTCTTATAAACTCGCTTACATTTATTACGTACCGACCGGTAGAGAGGATTGTCCCCACTCCGCTATCTAGTATACTGTGCGACTACGCAGGTGTATGCTATAGATACTGTGGAATAACTGTCTACCTGCATGATGGTATACACATATCACACGATATTATATACGTCAATGCGAGAGATAGAATGCCTCCTCAGTTAGTGTTGCATAGATATCGCCATAAGTCCAACACTTATCTGATGGCTATAATGTGCTGCACCATGTTCCGTAATGGATCGCCAGCCCCGTGACTCGGACATCCCAGCCTTAGGTGTCTCTGTTTGCCAACTCCGTGAAGTATTCGTCTTCACTACCCCCTCCCCATGTTGAAACTGATGATTCAACAGCATCAGCTTACGTACCATACACAAGGGTTTTGAAGCCCTCGCTATACTTGCTCTTGCTCTTAGTGATGATATGTCCGGGCCGTCCCTTTACGTGTGTCTGGAGTTGGAGCCTTCATCTAGATGAACTGAATTGCTATCGTCGACCGAACTCGCAGAGGCAACACATTCTTTAGGAGTGTGCTTGTTTCATTTTCAAGTTGATACACTGCACTCAGTCCTTTGCCATCGCCATCTGTTCCTAACTTCCCATCGGCTTTCCTTTGCTGATTTATTCATCGAAGTGGACGCTGTCCACCCTTCCGTTGTCGCATTCTTCCGTCGACATGTCCCCAACAACCACGGGCTCTCCTTCCACTGCCACTAGCACAGATCATAATGGAAGTGACAGCAACTCCAGTCCTACTAGCTCGCCACTCCTTTTCTTCGTCGCCCTTGGATTTGGTGTTGTCTTCACCAATCTATGGTATGTTCAAGTCGGTATCACTAGGTCGCCACATTGTATTTATGTGCATCTGACTCTTACACTTCAGGATCATTGTGGGGGTAAAATATTGTTTTCGGTATAATCAACGAAATCGCCAATTACGCGGTCAAGAAACAGGCGAACCCATAGATCTTGTGGCCATGCCTAGGACACACCGAAGACGCAGGGAAAAGAAGCTGATGAGCATGGATGACGTTAACGAGAGATTTCCACTCATCAAGTATAAAGCATGGAGGTCCTCGCGTGAAAACGAAGGCCTCTCCACCGCAGGCGGGATCTCGGCGCTGAATAGCAGGCCACAAAGTATGAAAGATGACTACGCGCTGTCTGCCTCTCTTGGTGCACCTTCATCAATGACAGCGTTGCCACTCAAAGGCCATCGGCGGGTTGACTCCACCACGTCGCAGGTTTCTGCACCGCTTGAACACCTGGAGACAACACTTCCGCAATCAGAAGAGAAGAGCCTGGGTCACTCCGAACCCGATCCCGGAGTCTCTGGAGTGGCCGACGACATGAATCAGGCAGCCACGGACCAGCCCCGTAATCACGTGCTGAATCATTCTATCGTAGAGGAAAATGGTGACCATGAACACCATATACGCACTGCAGTCCCCGCAGATCTTCTCACAAACCCTGGCGATACTTGCGCTATTTGCCTCGACACAATTGAGGACGAAGATGATATACGAGGACTTACTTGTGGGCACGCTTTTCATGCCTCCTGTGTTGATCCATGGTTGACAAGCCGGCGAGCTTGTTGTCCTCTATGCAAGGCAGACTACTACGTCCCGAAACCTCGTGTGGAAACTTCTGAGATGGTTCCTAGCTCAGAAAGTCCTGGTCGACGTGGCATCGCACGGGTGACAGCTCCAAGCCCACCACAAGCTGTCTTCATAGGCGGGAGAGTGAATCTTTTACGGTCTGAATCGGTCTTTTCGGAGCGGCGTGTGCAGCGATGGCCTCTAACCAACAGAGTATGGTTCTCTCGGTTGCGCCTTTGGAGGGCATCTAACTCCAACCACCAGCCCACCTCTACCGTGGCTGATACGTCGTCTGCACAGACTGATGGAAGGGCTCGGAGACTAGGGCTGTTCTCCGTCGGCCACTTCAATCTGAACCTGGGATTTCGTGAAAACCGTGCCCCAAGAAGAAATGGGAATAGCTCACTTGCGAACGATAACCGAACGCTGGGACAGCTTGAAGCCGGCCCCCCTACGTGAATTTCTTTCCCTTTACTTGTTTGAGACAGCTGACTTGTTCTTTCAAGTCTATGTCTATTATATCTCCCGACATCTGGCATGCGGGCAGGGGTAGCTTCGTCATTGTCCTTGGGCAGCGTGCAAGACACGCCACTTTGTGTATAATACCTTGATTCTTTCGACATTCTAGGCACTCGGCTTTATCGCCCGCTGAGAGCACATGCGTTCGTTGTTCTTTCACCGTAATTGATTGGGACTTCTGGAGTTTTGATGCGGGTTATGGCGTTCGTGGCAGTTAATTGGATCTAGGTCAGCCATCAAGGTGGTAGCGAAACGGTGAATATTATTGGCTTTTAGCAGGGAATGCATATGTTTATTTCCGTCCGTAGCGCGCTAGCGCTGAGAAACACTAGATTGGGTCCTGGTGTGATGAACGAAGAACAGGTCTATAATTGAGATAGAAAAAAAGTTGAAATATTGTATTCATATATTAAATCATAATAGATCTAAAAAATATATATATAGATAATAATAGTGCTATATACATATGTCTATAAATTAGACCATAAGTATTCAATAGATTTCTTAAGATAAATTCTAATAATTATAAAATAATTTTAGTTACATAAAAAGTGATGGACCAGTACAGTATGATAAGATATCTATTAGGTTGAGACCTTTAGCTTACTGATATTAATTTATCTAGAGGCCTGATATCACGGGACTATTAACTATCTAGTTAATGTGATAGAATAACCTAGCAGTGAGGCTTCAGCCCCTCACATGACTCACCTCCCGTGAATGGGATTCATAAGAAATACGTACTCAAAGTAAATGGTTTAGAATTCTAGTCTTTTACTAGATAGCCTAGTTAGTAATAACTAGAGCCTAATATAATTAACTCTAAAAATATATTCAAAATAGATTATAATATAACTCTAAACTAATATAATTAAAATTTAATTTTTAAAGAGATTATATCTATAACTAATAATTAGCTAGCTAGGTGTTCACGTGATTAAGTAGTAACTAAATTGATTAAAAACTAGTTTATAAATCTATTTATAGTTAGTGATTAGGAGTAATTACTTAATAAAAATAGAAATTATACAAGATTTTAATTTATTATATAATTTATCTTCTGTGATAGGATCTACTTGTCAGGGTAGAAGGCCTGTCGACTAGGTAAGGAACTGGCCACTAAACGTGTAGGATTCCACTGGTAACGACAATGTAGCCTATATCCACAAGATCGAGACTGATCCTTGCAGGATCAGTAGTTTAATACTGAGGAGCGTTGCCTTATAGAAGATGGGTAGATTGTGATAGGATCTACTTGTTAGGGTAGAAGGCCTATTGACTAGGTAAGGAACTGGCCACTAAATATATAGAATTCCACTGGTAACAACAATGTAGCCTATATCCATGTAAAGAGACTAATTTTTAGAGGATTAGTAGTCTAATACTAATAAATATTATCTTATAGTAGGTGAGAAGATCCTGAACCGCCACTGATAATCTTATAATTACTATAACTATTTTAGTATGTCACCCGAAAGCCCCGGATCACACTAACTAGGCTACTATAAAATTAAGATATTAGTCAGACTAGTATTAATAAGATAAAATCTTTATCTAAATTATTTTATTATAATTATCTTCTTTTTTACTGAGCCGAGCCTCCTAGCTTAAAAAGCTATGTATAAATAGTTTTAAAGTAAGAACATAGTATAAAACAGAAGATATATTTTAGAATAACTATTAATACATCCTTGTAGAATAGAAGGAATATAAAATATTATAATATATTTATATTTATTATTATAATTATTATAGTTAAAATTAGTAAATAATTTTACTTTAATATAGTAGTAACCTATTATAATACTAATATTAATATTATTATTCTTTTTTTTTCTTCTCTACACTACTCTTATTTTTTATGATAATTTTATTTATTTACTATTGTAGTTCTTTTAACAGTTAGTATTTATATTATATTTTTATATCTTTTTATTACTGTCTATTTAAAGATTTTATTATAATATTTTATATCTGTAGAACTGTGAAATAATATATTACTTATAATTTAATAATTAAGCTTAAGTACCTGTTCTGCATATATTATTTTTAGTTTAATTTAAAAGAGTATAAAGCCGCCGCTAACATTTTATTTACTATTTATTATATTTTTAATAGTAAGGCCTCGATCCTTTACTAACGCTATTATAAGAAGAATAAGAAATATAATTTTATAAATACTTTATATATTAATATATTATCTATTTACTAATATAACTAAATATTAATAGAAATACTAGGTAATATTTGCAATCTAATAGATATTTTCTAATAATTTAATAAATTACTAAAGATTGAAGATTAGAATAATAAATTATGTATATATTTATATACTAGTAGTTTCAATCTTATAAAGGCTTTTAAAAATGTGGAGAATATTTATATTATAAGTCTTTATCTTAAAGACTTAAAGAAGAATATAAGTTAATAAATAGCTATTTTCTAGAATAATTCATTAATTAAATATTAAATAGATATTTATGGATACTAGTAATATTTAGCTATCTAGTATAATACTATAGCTTGCTAATTTTTCTATTTTAATATTAATATAATATATGTAGAGCTCTACCAGCATAATAAATAAATTTTTTTATATTTATTATTAGGAAATACAGGCTTTATTATATAAGTTATAGTAATAACTATTCTATTTTAAAAAATTATGGATATAATTTATAAATACTTTTCTAATATTTCAACATTCTCTAATAGTAATTCAGAGAATAAAAAAAATAAAGAAAAGATAGTAATAATCTAAGAAACTTAAATTATTTATAATAGTTTTTCTATATATATCTTTGTTATTTAATAAATTTATTAATACTTGATATTTATTAATACTTTAGTATTAATTCAGAGATATTACTAACTAGATATATATAAATACTTTCTATTATCTTATATAGAATAATATAATATATTTTTTAGTGTATTTAACCTATAATTAAAAAAATTAAAAAAAAATTATATAATTTAATATATCTATAATATATATATCTAGTATAGAGATTATTTAGTAATAACTTTCCATAATTTTATTAACTTTAATAATCTTTAATATTTTTTTTAATAATTCTTAATATATCCTTATACATTAGCTATATTTTTATTAGAAATCTATTAGTTATATTCACTAAGCTATTCTTTCTATTTAATTAAATAGTAGTTTTAGCTATTATATTATTAATAATTTTTAATTTCTTTAATTTCTTATTCTTCCTCATTATCTAGCTTTAATATTAGTAATATCTTTTTATAATTTATACTAACATTCCACGGCTCTAATAATAAGATATAAAATATATTATAGATTTATTTATATTTATTAAATAAATATAGATAATACGCTTGTGATCCAATCTATTTTAAAATCTAAAAAATTTTATAAATTTTAAAACTAGTTTTCTCAATTTTTTGAACCGTAGGTTCTAAATCGATAATTTAATTAAATCTTTTTCTTTAAAGTAAAATAGCTTTCTATATTTATTATAATATTTCTTTTACTTTTCCGTGGTTATTTACTATATTTTTTAAAGTTATTCTCTTATTTATTTAAGCTTTTTAATTCTATTCTATATAGCTAGAACCTTTTACTATCAAGAATCATCCTTGATTCTAATATAAAAGTCTAGTAAGTAGCTATAAAAAACTTTATTAAATAATTATTTAATAATTATATTATCTGTATTATTACAAGCAAATTAAATAATTAATAATATTATAATCTAATTTATAAAAAACTAAATAAAATAATATCTTAAATAATATTTTAAGGTTTAGTTTATTCTTTCTATTTGGCCATCAGTTTGTGGATGAAACGCAATAAAAAATCTTAAAATTATATAACTATTATAACTTAAATTTAACTAAAATTTATTAGTAAATATTAAACTTTAATTAAATATAATCTTATTAGAGGGTCCGAATACTAGTTCAATTTATTAATAGAAGAGTTCAGCTAGATTTAGAACTATTATAATTAATAAAATAATAAAAAAAAATAGTATTTCAAGAATTAGTTAATAATAATAAGGATAGAGTCAACAGTTTATTTATATTAAATAATTAAAGATAATCCTATAATAAAATCTATTAACAATTCTATAAAGAGACAGGAAGAAATTAGTAGTAATTTAAGATTACTATATAATTAATATTTTAGAGCTATATTATTTTGATATATTAAGTAAGTTTAAATATATTTAATTATATTCTTATATAGTCCACTCCAGTGAAATTTTCTGTGTAATAATACTTCTATTTAAATTTTTTTAAAGTGTCCCGCTAACGGATCATTATAATATAAATAAATAAATATTTAATGTAATATTTTAAAAGATAGAATATAAAAATAATTTTTAAAATAGATATAGTTAGTAGTCTTAATAATTCAATACTTTTAATCTAATTATTTTTATTAAATAGTAAGCTTTCACTATTAAGTCTCTAGATCTTTATTTTATGAATACAAGATTATTTTTTAAAATTTGAAATTATATTTATCTAAGTATAGAATTTTTATAATACACACACGTATTACTATAAATTAAAAAATAAATTTTTTTTTAAGATAAATTCTTCTAAGTAGCCTAGTTAGCTATTTCTATACTAGCTTAACTATTAGGATTCTTTAAATTTAATACTATATAAATATTAAATCTAAAGTAATCTTATACATTTCAAAATTTAAATTAAAATTTTATATTTATTAAATTTTTAATTATTAGGGATGATATATCCACAAAACATTCTTAAATTAAGATTAAAAGTTTTTTTTAAAAAGTAGATTTTATCTGGGACCCAGCAGGCACTCTAGAAAATCTATCTATTAAATTTAATTTTTTTATTCTATATTTAATAATAAAATTAAAAAAAATTAAATTTATAAATTATTAGACTTACTTTTTATTAACTCTAGTCTAACGCATGAATAATTA